TGTGAGAAGAGACCAGCACCAACCTCTCTACAGTGTCCTTTCAAATAGTTGTAGAGTGATGAGGTCTCCCTTCAGCCTCCTCCTCCTCAAACTAAACAGTCTCAGCTCCTTCAACTGCTCTTCATATCATTTGTTTGCTAGGCCCTTCACCAGCTTCGTTGCCCTCCTCTGCACTCGCTCCAGCACCTCGATATCTCTCTTGTATTGAGGTGCCCAAAACTGGACACAATACTCGAGGTGTAGCCTCACCAGTGCTGAGTACAGGGGCACAATCACCTCCCTACTTCTGCTGGCCACGCTATTTCTAATACAAGCCAGGATGCCGTTGGCTTTCTTGGCCACCTGGGCACACTGCTGGCTCATATTCAGCCGCTTGTCAATTAGAACCCCCAGGTCTCTTTCTGCCAGGCAGCTTTCCAGCCACACTTCCCCAAGCCTGTAGTGCTGCATGGGGTTGTTGTGGCCCAAGTGCAGGACCTGGCACTTGCCCTTGTTGAAACTCATACCATTGAGGTTGGCCCAATGATCCAATCTATCTAAGTCTCTCTGTAGAGCTTCCCTATCCTCCTGGGAAGCAACACTCCTGCTTAACTTGGTGTCATCTGCGAACTTGCTGATGATACACCCTATGTCCTTATGTTTAATAATGTATACACACATATACTTTTTTTAAATAGGAGATACTTAAAGGTGTTTTTCCTCTCTTTCTGGGAGGGTTGGGTGCCTGTTTCTCCCCTGCATGCACATCTGCCACGAGTACAAACAAGTGAAGAAGTCCTGTAACTCCCAGCTGCCTGCACTGCCCATCCCATGGACAGATATGGAAACTATGATTGGATTCAACACCCTCCAGCAGTTACTGCCAGAATCCCTTCGAGAGGAACTCGAATGTGAAGAGAATCCACCACATCAAATAACAACCCAGTCAGTGCTGTCCAGTGCAAGCCATCTGGCAAACCCATTTCCCACTCAGACAGCTTTCATGGAGAAAGAAGCATAGCTACAAAAACTACATGTCCCCTTCCTATCTAATTCTGCTGTCCTCACTAAATCAAATTTTGACTTCATCTACTCGTGGAAGCAGAAAGAATATCTGATTGTCAACACACAGTCTCTGTCACTACAAAACTAGAGAGAAGGAAACTCTTCCAGTTGCTCTTTATACTAAGGAATTTCATGAGAGGTGTCAGCACCTATTAGAAACCTGGAAGCAAAATTCTTGAGACACAAAGTAAACAAAACATCCAGTTTGATCCTGGTTTTAGTGCTTAGCTACCAATGGCAGAGGCAAAAAAGAATTCAGTCCAGTCTCCTATTATCTGTGGATAGCTAACAGAGAAAACATAAAAAGCCATAAAAATATCTAAATAAAAATACTTAAATTAATAGCTGAGATCCTGGATGCAACCTAAAAGCAGATTCCGTGGTTTACATTGGTGTTCTTGCTTTCAGACAAAATAAGGCCTTTTAAAATACTGAATAGCTCCTTTAAAATCTGCTTGCTTTCTAAAGCCAGCCAAACGTTTTAAAGCATTTGACATGTTTAGATATTATTCTTTCCTTTTGTCATTACATATGCAATAGTCTGTGCCCTGCAGCAAGAAGTAGGTTGAAATGGATACTTGCAGTAGCATGCTGTCATAAAGACATTAAAAATCAGTTGGAGCATTCTCTAAGATCAGGAAAAAGCACTGACTTAAGATTATCTCCTCCTTTTACTAACTGAACCAGGGTCAGTATAAGCATAAAATGTAAATAAAATAATTCACCTCAGAATTGAGGCAATGATAGGAAGTTAGAAACAGCAAAATAGGTCTGATCTTCTGAAACATAAAACCCATGAGAACACCAGTTTTATCTGGTTCTACTCAGCCTGCTGATCTATTACTGGAAGCACTGGTTTCCACCCCTTGGAAGCAGATTGTCTCACTCTGACAGTTCTGAAAGGTTTACTCCACTATTGAACTGGTTTAGCTCTTCCCAGCCAAGGCTTAAGAAAGGGATGTTCAATTTTCTTCAGTGAAACAATAGGCAATGACAAGAAAGAGAATCTGGTACCATAATGATGCAGTTCCCAAAGCTTTGTAATTCCCTGATCTTCAATACAAAAGGCATTGTTTAAAACGGAAAGGCCAGTTTCAGGCCCAAATGAGCAGTAGGATGCAAGCACCAAAATAACGTGATAAATTACTAAAACTAGTATCATTCATTTGTTTGATTGAATGATTTGTGAATCCAACAAAAATGTAAGAACTAGCCAGATTTACGAAGCATGATGTAGCAAGGAATATGAATATCCTGAAAAAGATGGGTCAATAACTAATAACACCAACTCCAAATTACTAATTAAAATAAGAATCTTGCTTCTTAAGGAAGCCAGTAGAATATTTCATATCTATATTTTTCATGTTCTATACAAAGTAAAGAATATATAAAGCATTAATATATTTTACTTTTTTTTCTTCTTCTACATAAGGAAATATTTTTTAAAAAAATACATATCCATTTTGGGCATGTGATGCTACAGTTGCATTTGTGTGTGTTTAGGTACTTTTTTTTTCTCCTTGCTCACCCAACTACCCCGTGGAAAAAAGGGAAAGGGGAAGGGAAAAGGGGAAGGGGGAAGGAAGACAACTTCACTTTCTATTTTTGTGAGTACTGGAGAATAAAATAAGAAGTGTTCATACAGCAGAACAAAGAGGACAATTGTACATCTGTGTAGTGTATCAATTACTCCCTGAATAATCAGGAAACTACCTGATTTTCTTTGGAGCACCATACAAAAGAACAGAATTCAGTGTAACCCATTTATCGCAGACACAGTATTACATTTACTCACCAGTAAAAGTATTTGGGGTTTACCAACTAAAGCCACAGCAGTAGAGAGCTTCCTCTTCGTGCCAGCACTGTATGTTCTCACCAGTTTGTCAGCATGGGCATTGAGGTGTAACCGGTTAACAAGGTCCTCTGCAACCTGTGGTTCAGAAATTTCAAGGCCAACAAAGATGAGCCAAATGAGGTTGCATTTGTGTGTTTGTTTTAGATTGAAAGAACACTCTGTTCATGCATATTAAGCAAATGTACATGTTGTTTCTTTATTTACCCCCATTTGATGCATATTATTACTTTTGAATCCTAGACACACACAAAAAGCTGCTCTGAGACTCGTTAGTTCTCCACAAAGGATAAGGATTTTCTTATATAGAAAATTTGGCCTTGTCATTGCTAGTAACAGTCATTTGCATTCATTTTGCATTGATGGGCCAATGATCTAAAGCGTTCCTCATTTTACCTCATTCTCCGTTATTTATTTGATCACACATCTTAGTGACAGAAAATTCAGGAGACGAAATTCTACATCAGCTACAAAAAGATGGAAACGGCAGAAAAGCAACTCACAGGTCAAGGATTTAGAGTTTCTTAAAGACAAACAGTAACTTAGGGTTAAATTAATATACCTTCCTAATAACTGAGAGGGGTAAGTTGTCCCTAGCTGCTTTGGTTGTAATTGCTTAAAATAAGTATGTGAGATCTGAGCAAGCTGAGGCGGGACATGAGCACAGCTGGGGGCAATGTTCATGCTGTCTTCTATGGCCTTCCTTCTTTACCTGTCAGAGGTAACCCTAATGTACAAGAGTCCTTCAAATACCGGTGCCAGAGAATTTTAAAAGTAGCAAGAGCCTTGCTCCACCTGTGTCAACTATCACTGCTGGACCATCCAGGGAGGGATGCAAAAACATGAGGGACACAGCAGCAACTTCTCTACTCACCACTGCCAGACACACCCTGCAAAACAGCAGCTGTTTAGTGGCATGCTGCTGGGTGGCTGTGTCCTCAAGGGGTGATGAAATTTGTGATAGAGCCAGTGTGTCTTTAACCCAGATGTATCACAGTTGGGAGATTCTTGTAAAACAAGTAGTTGGTGGTGCTCTATTGCCTGACATCAACTGCCAGAGAATCCCCAGCAGTATGGTGCATTCTTTCTGCACCCTCTGCGCTACATTCAGGCAAAAAGCAAGGAAGGATTAGTCAGATCAGATGGACAGTCTCCAATTAATTCAGAAATCCAATAGAAAAAAAATACATCAATAAACAATATTGCGAATTAATATTCACTATCCATTTCAAATAAACTGCCATAAGCATAATAGCATTTTTTTCTAAGACAGTTTTACACAAACTTGAAATGATCAAGATATTCATGACTCTTTTAGCAAGATTTTTCAGTGCTACATATAAAAATAAGAGACACCTCCGAGAGCAAGTTCTCTGTAAGCAGGGACAATGCTGCAGTGGTGAGATTCTGCAGTATTCTAGTATGGATCCTGGCACTGGTATTAATGTGTTCAGTGTGCCTCAATGTATAACCTGACAGCAATGCACATTTCTCAGACAAAAGCTACATTTCATAAATATTGCTCTGACTACATCAAATGCGGTGAGTTTCTTTTTTAAAAAAAAAAACCTTAATCAACAACCATTAAAACACCCACAGGTAATTTTACACAAAAAAGTTCAAGTCTTTGCTATTTCAGGGTTAATTCACAGTGGTTTACCTTCATTTAAACACTATTGCTGCATATCACTAGAAGTGCTGCAAATTCAAACATTCTGTGGCTTTAGAAATGGTCAAGCGTCTAAGCTATATGCTACAATAAAATAAGTGAGCTTTTATGGTTGGTTGGGTGGGTGGGTGGGTTTTATTTTACTTCCAAACATAGGTCTCATTATATGCCATAACAGCCTGTAAATTGAACACCTCTAAAGCACATGGTAGACACCTACTAAACTGCCTTGACTTTACTACCACTGGGAATACATGCATGTTAGTGATGACAGGATTATCCTCCTACAAATCCACCAACAATTTAGAGAGAAATGCACAGAAAAGCTCATAAAACATTAAGAGCAGAAAGGGGAAAACTGTGTGATCTCTTGTTTACACCAAATTAACATATATCACAAGCTACAACAGGCTTCAAGATTTATTAAACAATAAGGAAAAGAGGATCACCTATCACAGCTGAAATGTAGTAAAAACTATCCTTTAGCTATAAACACTACCACTATTTCTAAGACCACTTTGAAGTGTTACCAAAACTCTTAGACTAAGTCAGCAAAATGCCATACCTTGAAAGAAGCAATGAACATTGCACAGAGAAGAATTTAGAAAGCCAAGTAATAGTGCCATAGAGAGAAGAAAAAAAACATACAAAGTAAGGTAAGTCTTATGATAGTCTGTAGCCCCCAAGGAGACTGAATCATGTATCAGGTATGAACATGATGTTCTTTGTAGGGAGCAACATTAAAAAGAATCGACTTTGTAAGGTTTACAGTTCTACACGTAGAATCATCCCAACTCTCTGGTATGTACTCAAGCATTCAATGCACAGATACTCACGGCTACAACATCTTTGGTTTTGCACAAGGAGAGAAAGCCTGGTGAGTCCTCTGCTATGGGAATTTTGAAAGACAAGGTTTACTTAAAGTAAAAAGAAAGGGGTGGGAATCATTTCATAGTACCCATTTCACTGCTGCTTTGAATGTGTAGAACTTCCAAGGTAAACCTTGGGGATCACTGCAGTGCACACTGCAATCTGGCTTGATATATAGTTACGCTTCTTTGGTGCAAAATGTATCAAATTAGAACAGATTTGGGGCTGAACTACATCAGAAGCATAAAGACGGAATCACAGAATCACAGAATTTCCAGAGTTGGAAGGGACCTCTAGAGATGATCTAGTCCAACTCCCCTGCTAAAGCAGGATTGCCCAGAGCACATTACTCAGGACTGCATCCAGGCGGGTTTTGAAAATCTCCAGAGAAGGGGACTCCACAACCTCCCTGGGCAGCCTGTGCCAGTGCTCTGTCACCCGAACTGTAAAGAAGTTTTTCCATGTGTTGGAACGGAACTTCCTATGTTCCAACTTGCACCCATTGCCCCTCGTCCTGTCACTGGGAACCACTGAAAAGAGTCTGGCTCCATCCTCCTTCAACCCACCCTTTAGATATTTGTAAGTAATAAGGTCTCCCCTCAGCCTTCTCTTCTCCAGGCTAAAGAGTCCCATCTCTCTCAGCCTTTCTTCGTAAGGGAGATGCTCCAATCCCTCAATCATCTTGGTTGCCCTTCGCTGGACTCGCTCCAGCAGTTCCCTGTCCCTCTTGAACTGAGGAGCCCAAAACTGGACACAGTATTCCAGTTGTGCCCTCACCAGTGCAGAGTAGATGGGGAGAATGACCTCCCTCGACCTACTAGACACACTCTTCCCTATGCAGCCCAGGATTCCATTGGCCTTTTTGG